CCTTCTATGACAAAAAATTGCAACTAAATCACCTCCATTTTTAGAAAGGATTCAAGGAGATATTTGTGGGCTGATTGCCCCACCATGTGGACCATTTTGATATTTTATGTTGTTGATTGATGCTTCAACACGTTGGTCACATGTTAGTCTTTTATCGACTAGAAAGTTAGCATTTGCTAAACTCCTTGCTCAAATCATTCGATTAAGAGCTCATTTTCCGGATCATTCTATAAAGAGAAACTGACTTGATAATTGATAAGTCCGTATTTAGACATGCATTTGATGCGTGTTGGGATCGGCTTTTGATGGTTTTCCTAGCTTTAAGGTGTTACAAGTCTCAATTTTAGCTCAAGTTATGTTTACCGGGCGTTGGTTCGAGTTTTGTGTTGTTTGGAGTCAAAATCAGGAATTTAGAGTCCGGCACCGGCGCTTGAGAAGCAATCAGGAACAATCGGAGAACATTCGAGAGAGATTTGAGTGTTTTGGAGGCCACCGGGAGGTTCACGGCGACGATTTGATGACGAAACGGCCTTTGGATTGATTAAAGAAGTATCCGGGAGCAAACGGGGAAGAAAATAGCAAGAAAACGGTTCTAGAGCAGTCCACGCGCCCCGCGGTGCGGTTCCGCACGCCCCGCGGGTGATTCTGAGAGCAAAAAGTTGAGGGGTCTAAACCGCAAACCGCGCGGCCGAAACCGCACACCGCGCGGTCCAGAAATAGCCCCCAGAAGTACCCGCGTGGTTGCATAGTGCGGCGCCTGCACACTGCGCGGGCGGAGCGAAAGTCGGAAGCGAAAGTCTGACCCGCACGGCGTGCGGACGACCTTGCGGGCTGATTTTCGGACAGATTTTGAGTTTTTCTATAAACATGCCCTTATTTTGCCTGTTTTTGACTGATGAGCTTAGAGAGATAAACCCTATTTCGATTTTTGAGAGCTTTTCAAGCCTTATTCTTCAAGATTAAAGGATTCTTTGTAAGTTCTATCTTTTTAATTAATGACAATTATTTCTATTCATCCCAATTCTGTTGATTCTTCAATTATGAATTGTGAGTAGTTTAATTAGAGATTTGGGGTTGATGAAGGGGTTAATCATGATTGATGGCTAAATTCTTGTTGGTTTAATTGCATGAATGCCGTTTAATTTGTGTTTGAAGAATTTAATTGATATCTTTTGTAACCTAGAACGCGCGCTAGAATTACAATTGCTTGTAGAATAAGTTAAGAGAGATCTAATTTATTCTAGGACACATTCACACACTTAATCGTTCGATGAGAGATTAGTAGCGATTAAGGGGCTGTAAGCTCGCTCGTCTTGGCAATAATTTAGGATCCTGTCGCATGAGAGATCAGCCTGGTCCCCTAAATTATTGTACTCTACGCCGCGAGAGCGGTAAGAACTTAGTAATGATTAGCTAGGCTCAATTAAATTAAATTCATGTAATTAGGCCTGTTCTGCCAGAAATCTGGTTACCCCAGAATCAATCCCTGTTCCCTTCGTCGTTAATTAGAAAGAAACCAAGCATTTATTTTATTCGCTCATTCGCATTAGTTTAATTTAATTTTTATTCAATCAATCAGACTCGCACACTTGCAGTTTATTTTATTTTACTTTTAATCGCCGAATTTAGTTAATCTTTAATTCCCTTTTGTCCGTCCCTGTGGAGACGATACTCGTACTTACACCACTATATTACAATCTTTTTAAGTGCGAGAAAACTCACATCAATAATGCAGGAGAATTTACATCCCAAACATTTAACGACTATTGTATGTCTATTGGGATTGATGTGGAGCACCCTGTTGCTCATGTCCATACAAAAATTGGTCTTGCTGAATCTTTGATTAAACGATTACAATTAATCGCTAGACCATTATTAATGAAATGTAATTTACCTTCATCATATTGGGGACATGCTATTTTACATGCACCAAATTTAATTCGGCTTAGACCAACTGCATATCATGAATATTCCCCAATGCAATTAGTTACTGGACAAGAGCCAAACTTAGCTGTTTATGTTCTGATTGCTCCACCTCATCGTACAAAAATGGGTCCTCAAAGAAGATTGGAAATTTATGTTGGATTTGAATCCCCCTCAATGATAAAATATCTTGAACCAATGATTGGTGACTTATTCACCGCACGGTTTGACGACTGTCATTTTAATGAGACAGTGTTCCCGAGCTTAGGTGTAGAAAATAACAAATCGACCCAAGTACGAAAGATATAACATGGAATGCAACATGATTATCGCACCTTGATTCCAGATCAAATATATGTGAGCAAGAGGTGCAAAAGATAATCCATTTACAAAATGTTGCAAATCAGTTGCCTGATGCATTCACAGATACAAAGAAAGTGACAAAGTCACATATTCTTGCTATGAATGCTCCTGCCAGAATCAAAATCCCAGCAGACTCAGCAGAGAATTCTGAAAATTCTCTTGCAAATGATTCTTCTATACGCAAAAAATATGTGATCCTAATCATTTCACTTTATTCTACTCAAATCTCAATAACAATTTTTACTTTTCAACAATTTTATTAATAATTGTGTCAAATTGAAACATGACAACTATTATGGGACGAATGTAATAGCATAATACTACGTAGACCATACATAGTGGCGGAATACGTACATCGATCAATACATGTACACTACATGCATGTATAGTAGTGTACATACATCAAGTCATCAATACATAAATAGGGAGGTAAAAACACACAAAAAAAAGTGAAGAGTGTGAGATGGAACTAGCTAGTGACTACTCCGTATCGGTATCACTTCCATCATCATAAAAGCAGTCGCAGCACAAGTCTTCCCAAATTATTACAAGCCAATTCTTTGTGTCACTTTTTTTGGCATATGGGGGTGTTTGATCTGATTCTCAAAACTGATTTTACTCCTTCAAGGAGCAGAAGCAGAAGTTGAAGTGTTTGAGTGAAATTCTTAATATCTTACGATTAAGAGGGTGACCCTCATTCTTAAAAAAAAATTAATATCGTAAGGCGTGCCAAGGCGTCACGCTCAAGCCTTAAGCCTTTGAAGCTTAGGCGGGTTAAGGCGTGAAAAGGCGTTTTGGTATTTTATCCATTATTTTGATTTTTCTAGGGATATTTCAAATATTTAAAATTAATATTCAATAGATTTAGAGAAAAACAGGCTAGATTAAGTTAATAACCCCTATTATTTTAATAAAGATTATGACACTTTACTACTTTAGTAGTTACTAGTTAGTATATAATTAAGTCAATTACACAAAGAATAGAATTGGAAAAAGCAGTTAAATGACAAAGTATTAATATTAGTAAAAAAACACTGATTATAAGACAATAATGATAATAATACAATAAAATAATATATTAATTAGTGTGGAGTGGAATGGTTGTTAACCTCTAGATTAAGGGAGTGTTTGCAATAGCTTAAAAAAAGTACTTTTCAGCTTTTGGCTTAAAAAAACACTTATTTACCAAACACTTCCAATTTTTACTTTTTCTCGGCTTGCGTGTGAAAAGTGCTTTTCCTTTTCTATTATACAAAAAACACTTATTTTACCAAACACTACCAACTTTTACTTTTCAAAATCACTTTTTTTCTCAAACACTATTAACTTTTACTACTAATCACTTTTTCATTACATCTCCAAAAGTGCTTTTTTTAAGCAGAAGCAGTTGCAAACACTCCCTAAATACGCATAAATAGTGTAGTACTGTAGTATGTACTATGTAGTATAATGATAAACGACGGAGTATAAAATATATAATACGGAGTAGGAGTATAATCCGGAGTACTAAAACAGTAAAACATAAAGTTGACTGAATTGCAGCTGTGTTGATCGACACATGCCTTTTCATCCAACTTCCCACACGGGACGCAATAGAGAATTCATCCTCACAAACGCCTATAAAATGACTCCATCTCCCTTTCTTTTCGTAAGGCAACGCCTTCGTTATCTGGAAGGGCAATTACCGCTACATACGGGTCGAAAAACGGAGGCTATTATTAAAATGCCGCCTTTTGATACGCTTAGCGTACCAAAAGGTTCTACCGAGCCGCACAATGTTTCGGATGTAAAGTGAAAAAACATCCCTCAATATTTAGCTTGTTTGACTAATTACAGATTATCTGATTTGTTTTTTTTTTTTTTGAGAGCAGATTATCTGAATTATTGATCAGCTAAATTAATTGCTTGGTAATTAACTGCTTCAAAATTTCAAATCGCTCTTTAATCCAACAAGCTGAATCTCCAACACGTTGCTAGTTTGCTACCAACGACTTTTCCTCTTAGCTTGACTTTCTTAGTTAATTTTCTTTTGTTTTCATTCTATAGTTACAATATTATGAGTTGCTGTCTTATTGTCTTATGAGTTGATGTTATTTTCGTTTAGTTTCTTTCGCAAATGTTTTGGCTCCCATTTGTTTATCCCGCATTGTCAATAATTAATACTCTCTCAGTCCTATTTTAAGATATCTTTCTATTGATCAACACAAATCATTCTTAATATCTTACTTTATATATCAATTTTTTTTATCAAAATTTGTTCTAATTTTTGCGACTTTGTAAAGCTTTTAACGTAATTTCTGAATATGTGATTTTTTTATCTAAAAATAATTTGAGTGCGGACAGGGATCCGTTTGCTTTATCGTCGATCAAACATCGTAAACCGTAAATTATATTACAATTCGGGATGGAGGGAGTAAATGATTAATAGTTATAGTATTATTGTAAATATTTTTTTTAAGAATAAGGTCACAGGGTACCTATAGCTTTGTGAAATACAAAATATTATTATCTTCGTCTCACTCAACTTTGCTAAGTTGATGTTGGGTGAGAAATTAAAAATGTAAAAACTGTATGTTGATGTTTGTGTAGAAGAGAAAGAATTAGAGCCACAAATTCATTACCTTAAAAAGAAAAGTCGCAAAGTTTTTTGAAACAAACAAAAAAAGAAAGCGGACAAAGAAGAGGAATTTGTGAAATAATGGGAAAGAGGTACTCCAATAGGAGTCCTGACACATATATTTATAATAGAAGAGTTGCCAAAATACAAAGTATTCCTAAATAGATATTAGGCAGATTCCTAAATATCTATTAGGTAGATTCCTAATTATATTAGTCTATTACACCCCCTCAAACTGTGCGTGAGATACAACGCGCAGGTTGTCTTTTAAAAAAAATGAAATTGCAAACTAAAAAAAAAACTCTTAGCAAATATATCCGTGAGCGGAAGATTAGAAGACACATCTTTGACAATAAGATCTCCATGAGAATATATGTCTGCAGCAGCCAGCGGCGAACTCAACAGCGCGCTTGAAGCAAGCACCGTGGTCGGCGACGCAAAGAAGGTGGGCTGCGCGGACATAGGCAGCAGCAGGCGGCGAACTCAACGGCACGCTGGAAGCAAGCACCGTGGTCAGCGACGCGGAGAAGGTGGTCTGCGCTATATTAGCCGCGCTCATCTTCAAAGGATCGAAGACTACCGTAAATGTGGCGGCATTCGACCCCGAGGCGGCGGCGGCTATAATAAGAAGGTTCATGGGAACCGGAAAAAAAAAAAGAGAAAAAAAAATGTGTCTAAAAACCTAAGCTCTTGATACCATGTGAAATAATGGGAAAGAGGTACTCCAATAGGAGTCCTGACACATATATTTATAATAGAAGAGTTGCCAAAATACAAAGTATTCCTAAATAGATATCAGGCAGATTCCTAAATATCTATTAGGTAGATTCCTAATTATATTAGTCTATTAGAATTATCATTTTACAAGTGGCTAGATCTACATCCATAATCTAACATCTTGTTCGTCGATCCTGCTTCCTGTTCGTCTTCAACCCCTGCTTCTCTTTCTTCCATTCCCATTCACCTACCTCCATTCAATCCTCCATCTTCGAACTCTTTCCCCTCCATCTTCAGTCTTCTGCTCGCAAGCTCTGGACTCCACCATCTGCCAAATTACTTGGCGCAGAGACTTCGATTCAATTTGGTGAGATGACAACGACGTGGCTGCTGCGGCCTGCGGTGATGATGACCTTGGAAAAAACGAGCACTACCCAAATATATATCTTTAATGTTGTTAGTTTTATATTATATCATAACATATTTTTTATCATTCTTGTTAAATTACACATTACAAATTTGTAATTATAAGACAATGACATACTTGAATAAAAATAGTAATATTATGCTGCCTCAAAGTTTATGTTTGAATGGAATTATGATACAAAGAAACAATAACTGTGTATGTAATGTCATGAGCAGTCTAACAGTGGAGAATCCAGTATTTTCTTTAAGGGAGGGCAATTTACATTTTGAAAATGGTAACATACGCATTTCACAAAGACTATTATATTATGAAATCGATATTAAAAAATAACGGTAAGACACAGCTCTTATTAAAAAGCAATATGACAAATTTTACTTTTCATTTTGTCCAAAAATATCTTTACATTCCTTCTAAAAAATGCTTTTTATTGTTGTTTAGCATTACATTTATAGTACAAGGAAGATATGATAGTGTTTATTTTATACTCCCTCCGTCCCAAATAATTCTTCCCGTTTTAACTTGGATCGCGCGGAGTTTAAGAAAGTAAGAACAAAGTGAACATGTATGATTGTGGTTGAGTAATAAAAAAGTTGATTAATGTTAGACATGCAATCTTTCCAAAAAGGAGAGTGGGAAATTTTTTTTGAGACAACCAAGTAAAGTAAGTGAGAAGAATTTTTTAGAACGCAGGTGGAAAATTGTACATTCAGGAAAATGTTGCTAATAATCGATAGTTTAAAGATTAAGACCAAATCAATAAAAATATTGCAAATTAATCAAAGTTGGGATAAGTTGTTTTTTTGTTGGGATAAGTTTTGAAGAGGCAAAATGAATTAACAAAAATATACTACGTACTAGGTAGTACCTCTGAGGTTCAAACCCACACTTCTAATTACAAACCCCAACCCTTCCACCGCTATGCCATCTAGATAGCATGTTAGAAATTTAGAATAATGGCTATTAAATACATCTATAATAACATTATACACATTTTTGTATAATATAGGGGTAGGATGAGGTTGAGAGGGGGCAGCTGCCCCCACTGCCGTCACTGTGGATCCACCCCAGCACTCTAAGGCTTTGTTCGCAACCACTTAAGAAAAGTGATTTTTGGCTTCTTTTTTTTTAAGAAAAAACACTTATTTTATCAAACACTACCAACTTTTACTTTCTCGGCTTCCGTGTAGAATCTACTTTTTACTTTTTCTATTACACAAAAAGTACTTATTTTACTAAACACTACCAACTTTTACTACTAATCACTTTTTATCAAAAAGTGCTTTTATTTAAGCACAAGTAGTTGCAAAGAAAGCCTAAGATATATCATCATTGTAACATGAATTTATATCATCCAAGTTAAATATTATTTTAATATCAATACTACATTAATTTTAATTAACTACACATATAACAACTACAACCACTACAATATAGTACTCCGTAATAATATAATGAATTCCCTTAAAGAGATCTGATCTAGACATTTCTAATTTGGTCTAATTGTTCCTAATCTAATTTGATAAGAAAAAGAATTAGCAATAAGCTAAAAGTCAAGGTGAACTAAACACCACCTAAGCCTGATTTTAGATAAACATCAATATGTCTTGTAGGTATTGTTATCTGGTAACAAAGCTTTTATATACCTAGTACTAGGTATAATAAAAGTAGTAGATAAAAATATGGCAGCGGGAATCATACACCTAACAATCAAACCAAAAACAACCAAACCAAAACCTATCAAATATAGAGCCCGTTTGGTAGCACCAAAATCGGCTGTTTTGGCTGATTCTGCTGAAATTTATGATATTCTGGCTGGAGTGGCTGTTTTGGCTGATTCTGCTGATTTAAGAAAAAAGTATTTTAAAAATATATTTTATTAATAAATTAAAGAAAAAATTATATGTAAAAATAGCTAAAATGGTCATCTACAGTAACTTCAGCCAATACAGCCAGAAAAGTAACTCCAACCTTACTTTTTCGGCTTATTACACAATTCAGCGCGCAAAAGTAAAAGTTACGTGTTTGGTGAAAAAGCTGGTTGATAAGCCTGATAAGCCGAAAACAGAGTTCTCCAAACGGGCTCATAATGGTCTAAACTTTGGAATCATACATATGCTAGTTTCTTAATTACCTGATTAAGTCTAGGAGGTTCTGCTCGGCTGTCGCCAATCGGGGAGGTTACCAGTTGAATTTTTTGATGAAATTTTTTGAGCATCTTCTTCATTAAGTCTAGTTTACCCATACCAAATTTCAGCTAAAAATTAAATCGGGAAGACAGTCAAATGATTTTCCGAAATGTACTGCGTTGTTTAACTGCGCAGTTATCTTCAAAAAATCATTTGAATGCCTTCACGGTTGAATTTTTAGCTAACATTTGGTATGGGTAAACTAGACTTAATGAAGAAGATGCTCAGAAATTTTCACAAAAAAATTCCACCGGGAACCGCCCCAATTGGTGACGGCCGGGCAGAACCTCCTATATAAGGGGCTAATTGAACACTTTAAGTTAGTTCATGTACCTATTTGACCCTTTAGCCTAATAATTACAATAAGTTTTCCACAAGATAGACTGCACACCGACTTGTGAAAGGTACATGGTGATTTCAAAATTCAGTTCAACCCAATTCGTAAATGACGAGTGCATTTTGCTTGCAGATTCGTCCGTTCCTTTGGATGTTAATTAGAAGACCCGGTTTGCAAGATTTTGGTTTTATGTCCCTCTTCATCATGTACTTTTTCTTTAATAAAACTCATGTTTCTTAAAAAATATGGGTCTTTATACTTTAGTAACTATAATAGCTAGTAATTTTAGTGATCATGATCATGTTCAATTTTACTAGTATTAGTTTTGCTAATGTGAGACTATCAACGAATTAATCGAGTAGCACATGATTTGGCTAGGATAGTCAAGTTATTTGCCCAACTGCTATGTTTAGAAAAATTCTCTTCCTAAGGCGAAGGCTATGCTACCTATAAAACTGAGAGTATCATACCTATAATGCATTTGATTGGTTGAAGTCATTATTTCATAAATTGTTTTGTTTAAATTATTTAATTGAAATATTCAAATTGATCCATATGTAAAAGGTATGGTACCTTGAGTGTACAATGGAATTTGTCATATCCTAATTTATTGTAATGAAAAAGGTTGCAAAAGGACTTCAAATTTTAGCTATTAAGAGAAGTCTAAAAATGGCCAAATTGCCCTATAGCTTAACTACAAAGCTTTTGCGTTTTATTTTCAGTATTGATGATGCTTTTACAGGATTTACTATTCAAATTTTTTCCATCTTAACCTATGTACAAACTCTATATGAACCAACAAAAAAAATTGACAGTTTGTTTTTGTGTGTGTATATTCTTTACCTTTTAAAAATATTGTTGCTAATAGTAAAAATGGATTCATAACAGCAAGTACTTTTGTACAACTTCACAGAATATTATTGAAGATGCAGGGCAGCATATGTCCTTGTTAAACTTCCAATTGGGAAACGTGTCTATCGTTCTACTCTTCATCTTCAGGGACAACCTCAAGCTCCTTGTCTTGGCTGCCTTCCGCCGGGTATTGTTCATCGCCTGCCACATCAGCATCACCAACGGTCTTATCTGCTGAGGATGATGATGCAGCAATCTCACAATTATCTACTTTTCTTTGCAAGCTCCAATGCATGATGCTTGCTGTTAGGGTGAGGATCATCTTCTGGTTCACCTGACACAAAGTGGAATAATTGCAAATTTTACTCATGCAAGCTTTTGATTCCCATAGGAGAGCTTAGTTTTTGGCATATAAAAAACTTTTCGCTGAAGAATATTATTTGCTGGAATCAAGGGCGTAAGTAGGGGGCCTGACTCAGTCCCGAAATAGGACTAAAACAGTTTGATAATTCCAAAATAGGATTGACATGTTTTTTATTCCCAAAATAGGAGTAATTACTGTCAAGTTTGGAAAATATTGACATGTTTGAAGTGTGGTACTGCCAAAACATGATATTAATTAGTCCTGTTTTGGGAATAAAAACATGGGAGTCCTATTTTGGAATTTTCAAACCTTTTAAGTCCTATTTCGGGTAATATCTCATTTGAAAAATATTTTTTTATGTAAAATTTATTTGAAAAAAATATTTATCAAGGTCCACCCCAACTTTTGTCTCTGGCTACGCCTTGGTTGGAATGATTAGAATTACTAAATTTGATGTCACAACCTTTGTTGTAGATCATTTTAATTTGCTTAAACATATTCCTTTAAATTTCGTAGTTAATTCAGTTAATTCATGCAAATCGACAATTTAAAGCTTTATCAAAATGGGCTCATAATCTTCATGACGACTTACTTCCATGATGTCCTCGGGCAATAAAAAAATTGAGCATCCTAGCTTCCGAGCAACACTGATTATATAATTCGCATTCGCCTTCTGGTCCTCCTCTGCAATAATTAGCATCATGGGATTTATCAAAAAGAGCACACAAAAATGTACTACGGAGTATGTAATAAGGAATTTGTTCATTGGCAATTACATTTATGCTAGTATATTTTATTTCATCGGGTTGAGAACTCAATCCTTAAGCAGGCCTAATAAATTCTCCATGGACCAGTTTGGATAGAGGGGGTTGGAAATGAAGGTTGTGGAAGACTAGATTGCTAGCCATCTAGTTTGGTTTTTGAGGTGATAGGGCATCCTAGCTTAGGATGTCTATAGGTGTTTTGGTCTTGTATATGATGTACATAAACATTCTTTGGATGGTTCTATATATATTTACATTTCATCCAAAAGAAATTAGATTTTATAAAAATAATATTAGCAAAATGTAATATCTCAGGCATCTCATATTCGGTTTTGGAAGCATTCTATCTACATAGATGGATATGCATTCTAAAATATTCTTCCAGTCCCTCCATCCCCTCCATCCGTACAGAACTTTTGAGTCAGTATGGATAGTAGGTTTTGGAGTGCAAATTCTATATCTTAATGTATATATGACATTCTATAAGAATTGAATGAATAAAAAATATAGTTGAACATATAACATTTTAATCACCCTTTATTAGTTTTAATAACATTATATGTAGTATCTTTCAATACATAGACCACAGTTCCTACCTGTTTCACCCTTGGTCACGAGGCTCCAGTTCACGACCCGAGGCTCCACAGCACTTAGAAGTTCAAGGAAAAAAATTCCATTGGATAGACTCTTATCCTGAAGCAATCATATGAAACACATCACCTTAGCATAGCAATTCATTGCAATAATACATGAAAAGAAAAGTTGAAGATTGTTTAAAAACCTTGAAGCTCTCCATTTGAGACGTTCTTCCTACATTCTTCACTTTATTGTTTGCCCAATTCAAGATATCAGCATCTGTTATTTCTTTTCCTTGGGAATGAGACCTCAAGTTTTTCAATAGTTGAAGCATATTAAACCTCATTAACTGCCATAGATAAGCTGAAAGAAAGCCAAATGGGATACGTTTACAAACACAGTGATAATTGCACTAAGAAATTAAGCTAAAGTGAGCAACAAAAGAAAATGACCATTTTTTTTGTATGATGAGAGCCACTATACTCCATTCGATTCCATAGCTTCCTTCTCTTAAATTTATGTCAATTAGTAACTATTTCATCATAACTTCATAGTACATCCCATAATGTACATTTCCTTTCTTAGTTTGACCTACAATTCTGCCCATTTTCCTTTTTACGCTCCACAAACCTTCTACTTTTGTAGTGTACCCTTTCATGATTTCACATATATTCATATGGTTGCAGAATTTCTTTATTTAAGCGCCTCACCTTTTGGAGGATAGAATTAAAAAAGAAACCAAATACAATATGTTTTGTTAATGTTTATGCATAAAGTATTTGGAACCTATAAATTGAGATGGATTATAATTTTAGACCATCTCTTTTATGGTATGGGGAGGCACAAAGTAGATGGGGAGGATAAAGCACATACAAGTTACCTATTATGAGCTTCTTGTTTCCTTGGACAATATCATTCCCAGCTACATTAACCAGTGATAACTTCAATTCCTTTCCAATCCTTATAACTTGATTGCAATTCTCGACCTTTGGAAATGGCAGTTTAATTGGAGGTTTTGTTGCTTGCTTCCAATTGACTGACTTAGGGGCAACTTTGTCAAGTACTTCCAAGAGAACCCACCTGTGCATAAATAAAAAACATGCCAACCTAGTACTTGTTAGCATTTACAAAGCCAAAATATTACCGACTACAATTTCAACTCATGAATACCACAGTACCCGGTTCGAACATCCTCAAATAAATTATTAACATATGTTTCGACTCCAAGGCTGTTAATCCACATCCGAAAGCATCTCTCTTCTCTAGAGGTTTCAGTATCATCTGTCATCATTTCAGCAAAAGGCAACTTTGTGTTGTCAACATCGGTTAATCCATTCCTGTCACATAAGTTGCATATCAACTATGGCAAAAAAAAGAACAGCATTATACTTGGAAACATGATCTACGAACATACGGGGTATCTTTTTTTTATGACTACTAACATATCTCCATTAGAACACACTAAAGTAAATAAGGGCAATATAAATATACTCATCAGCCAAGTGATGTTTGATGAACTATGGAAAAAAAATAGGTGTACACAGTACACCTTTAGCACACCCTGTATAAGGGTTCAAAATTCACCATACCCCCCCCCCCTGCTTTCTTCTTTGGTGTTTGTGAGGGAATTTTGTATGACCTGCATCAAATTTTATAAATTTTTAGTGTTATGGAAATTGGTGGTTCTATATCTCCAAGGAATTGAGGCTTCTTTTGCCCTCAATGCCGACGTATATCTTGGAAAGTTGGAAGTTAATTGGTAGATGATTTTGGATTATATGGTTAACCCTTGAAAGCCACCATGGAAATGTGGCTTCTCTTAACTCATTCCCCTAAACTACGAATGTGGCTAGGGGAGCGGGAGCCATAGCAAATTTTTAATTAGAGATTACTTACATTTGTGAAATTCTTTGTTGCTAAACACTAGGTTTACTTAATTAGAGTTTAATGTATTCCATGTTATTATGAAGGCGGATTCAAAATGCTACAGCCTCAGACCTGTGTTGGAATATTTGTGCAACAAATGCAAGATTTAGATTTGTTGACCCTTCAACGATGTCCTTTGCAGTGACATATTTTATGCAATCCAATTGTTCTGCTTGCTTGATGATCATATTTGCTCTAGCTGTAGGATCCTTTGTTTCAAGAGTTGCTGTGCCGAACTCCGGGGCAAGGGTATTTAGCAAGCGAGCATAAGCCTCTCCATCCTGCAAGTGGAAGAGCATGTAATATACTAATATGTATGTGAGAAGTTTCTGGTCGTTATGTTTTGGTGCATCTGTGTCCATCAAAATGTTAGCTTTAGTATCATCCTCACCTTCAGATCAGAAGAAAAATTTGTAACCTGCTTCTTATAGCCTGCTTTTTGTAGATGAAAATTCATCCATTTCAATAGAACTTTTTCTGGAGGCAAGGACATTAGCTCCTCCACATCCTGCATATTTTGTTATAACTCTTCACATCACATCCAAAATAAATGCATCATATTAAATTTGAGGTGGTTATAGCATGATGCATACAAAGAAAACTGATAAATTTCTAACTACCTTACTATCCTCCACAAGTTCCACAAGTTGAGGAGTTTTCTTTAGGTTCAGATCAGCTAATAGTTGAATCTGATTCACACAAAATGAAAGTTGGAGATAATTGAATATAATTACTACTGCCTTCACATAACTGGTGCAATTAGTGATTGAAACATGCTTTTGAGATACATACCTTGATAATTTGAGAAATCAACCCAAGTATGAGATGTGGCTAATAAAAACAAGAAATGGGAAAAAGATTAGCATCATTTATATGTATGATACATATAAATGATGAAGATAGTAAGTAATAGAATCAACTAGGCAACTAAGTTAGATTTAACATACTCTTCCTTCTGCTAAGTCTTGTGTGCCAATGTTAACCACTGTGCAACCAATAGCCTTTGCTGAATTTAGGCAAAGGGTATGGTTTTCATTTCTTTCCCAAGGATTAAGAACTTTCTTGGTATTAATAGCTCGTTCATCTATTGTCCCAGGCACAGCTATATTAATGAGTTTACTGCATGAAGCGAATTAGTGAAGTCAACCAAGCATGCACGCTAAAAGGTGATAAGAATCATAAGATGCTAATAATAAAATGGAATGTCTTCATCCTTACCATAAGAGAACACCATCCTTTGCGAGATCAAATATTGCGTTTGTAGATGGATCCAAAGGAAGATAGTCTTTTAAGAAACTATCTTCCTGTAGAAATTTGTTAACGTGTGCAACATAAGATGCCTTTTCTGATTCACTAATGGAGTGACGGAGAGTTGTTGTAGAAGACTTTAAAAAAGATGTTGTGGTTTTAAATTTTGAGTTATTACTCGGTTTCTTAGTGACCCTTGCTTGCAGATTGAGAAATGCCTGCATAACAATCCAGCTTATGGTAAGGCTTTAAAACAATGTCTCACTTCATGTCATTGCATTGTATAAAATGATATGACACATTGTTTCATGCAAATCTTCTACTTATGACACAACACAGTAAATTATGTAGTTAGTTAACATGATCAAATAAAGAAAAAGAAAGTGAACTGCCGTGGTGGTGCCTAAAACTCACCCGAAGGAATGATTCAAAATCGATTTCTTCATTCGAGTTAGAAAATGTTTCAGCAAGTATGGCCTTAATTTGTTCTTCGCTAAACATCCCGCTGAAGGTCTTCAATTTGGACATATATGATGGCAAATCGCCAGCAGTTAGCTTCCCGGCTTGTTCCCTTACAGAAGCAAACTGTGCACCAGTTGAATAACTAAATAATTAATCACATCACATAACCTCATGTGAATAAAGAACAATAACACCATAAGACAAACAGAGGAAAGAACAATTAGGTAGTTTTTAATTGGACTGAAATTTGCTGTCTAATCTGGTTTGGCCTAAACTGGTCTGGTCTGGGTTTGTTAAAAAATGTCTACTTTATTGCTCAAAAAAATGTCTACTTTATGTGTATTTATAACTATGAAAGTGTGATCAAACGAAGCCAGACCAGACTTAAACAGATCAAGTAAAAACATCATTAGCGTCACAAGAAAATATGAGTGCAGTTAGCATACTGTGGATTTAAGGCCACGCAGCTCCACTTGTGTAAATTGGCTCTGTAGCCATGGATCGGAAACAATTACACCTTGAAATCCAGACATTTTGTCACTTCTTTTCTGTCAAAATGCAATAATCGAAATAACCACCTGGAATGGTAAAGAGATTAAACAAGACCAGAAACACAACTCGTGCACATTAAGAGATCCCATTACAAAATGTTGTGTGGCTATCGTGATGTGTATCTTAAATTTTCAATACTAGGTTTGGTGGACATTTTTTTGAAAAATTAGTGGTTACAAACAAAAAGGTCAAATTAGTGATGGGCATCCTTGTTTATTAACGTAATAAGTTTGTACGTAAAAAACCTCCATGCTCGTATACCGATAATGTACTAAAAACATCCATAGGAAATCCAATGAATTGTTAATTTAAAAGTACATTAACGTCTATAGTTCTCAGCATTTGATTTTGAACTCCAACTATATAACACTCTTCGTTCCTTCCTCTCCAAATTAACTTTACTCTATATCCAGAGATAAATTTTCTTCCTCCGACCATTACCCTATTGGCCCAAATCCCCCGCCCCGCAACTACGTTGGACTGAAAAAATACCAAATAATTTTCATAGAATTGCCCGAAAAGTCAACTGAAAAGTGACTAGTAATAGTTAGCGCCAATGAGGCCATCACCAAATTGTTTTTTGGAAATTGCATTGGAAAAACCTACATGAATTTGTTACATTGTTACCGAACATCTTCCATAGTGGCAATAACATTGGTAGGAGTGTAGGACTGTTAATATATTATTGGCCCAATTGGTCTTTGTATATTAATAGTAGTTGACGCCCTATTTTAGTAGCCCGCTACACCTTTTATTCTTTGCATCCGCCCGTTGTATGCCTACTCAACTTTCTCATTTGAATTCAAATTGTGAGGTGTGTGTTGGTGCAGAGTCTTGTTGGAATAGTCCAACACTTCTATAGTTGTGCATTGTATTATTTCCCCTGCGGTCAGTAGGTCCATTCCATGGGCTAATATGCCAAAAGTTCCCTCTGTATACATGCAGTTTGCTCCCTAGTAATTCAAGCTAGAGTTTCATTTGTTGAACCACTCTTCTTCCTGACCGAGAGTGCATCTCTTTGTGAGTGTTTCCTTCTTCTTTGTGAGGTTAGAGGGTGAGTGTAGGCATGGCTGTTTAGGGAAGTTGCTCCCTTAGCTTAGGAGTGCACAAGAGACCGTCGGAATCGAGCTCCGGACTGTCTGAGCCAGAATACGGTGACGGAATAGATCCTCTACAAGGACCGTAGGACAATATCATACGTGACTCGGTGGCGTGGCGGTGTGGTTTACCCAAACATACCCAAACATTGACACTAATCAACGGTAATGTGATAATAAAAAGTTTTTATTTCTGTTAAGACTATAGAGGTTTTAAGTATGAATAAAGTTAAAATGAATTATGATCACCCAAGTAAATATTATGAGACAAGCATAATAAGAAAATGAAAAACCTAAAATAAGACAAAGATAGAGTGACTGAAGGTATAATATTAAAGGAAAACTAATATTTTTAACCGAGTTAGTTGAATTAGTCTATTTGTGTTTCCTGTTCTAGTATTGAATGAGCTTTTTTATAATTAAAATAACTTAATTAATTAATGATGTTCATTATGTCATTTAGGGTATTGTATATGAGCACCTGTTAGGTACTGGGTACATGGGTAAGATGCAGGGAAATTATGGTGTGCCTTTAATGGCTATAAGGCTATAATTAGTTAAAAAGAACTTATGTGGAGGATGGGGCTAGGATATACATTGAACTAAGTCATTTACTCTCGAAGGCCATAAGAGGTTTTCCTAGCATATGGTCAGGGGCGGAGCCAGGATTTCACTAGAGGGGGGCGGGACAGAACGAAAACGTGTAAATACATAAACATATTTTGTTAAAATTGCTGATTAATTTGAAATATTTGAGATCTTGTAGGACAACTAAAACAAAAAAAAAGTATCAATATCTTAAGATATATTATAGTAGATGTTTAATTTCTGAAAATCAATCTCTTACTACATGTGTGGATTATGTTTAGGGAAAGAAAATAAATTTCTAGGATATGAGTTTTCTGTTTGATTTTGCAACACAAATTTCAAAGGGAATTAAATATAATTGATACTATTAAATTTGTTTTCATACTTAATTATATTACTCTTTAACTATACAAATAGAAATATAAAATCAAATTCATCTCACGTCAAAGTTAATTCATCATATTTGATCAAATTTATGTATCCCATTTACTCATAGTTTCCTACGATTTCCCCCCAACATTTTTCAAGCTTAAAAAGGTCTAATTAATAAATTGAATAGTTTTAATATAATTAGAATTTATAAAATGAAAAATTTAAGATTATATATCTATCAATCTTTTAATAAATATATTAACATTTAATTACTCCTACAAAAAATTTACAAATAAATACTAAAAAATTGGAAATTTGGGAGGGGCATGGCCCCCCTACCCCAAAGGGTAGGTCCGTCCCTGCATATGGTCACTTGGTTTCAGTTTACCTAGATGTCAATTCTCTCAGTTTCAGTGAAATTGCGAACTGGTGATTTAGTTTTAAAGTAAATACTCCCCTAATTGGAATAACCTTTAGATGATCGAGTGATTGAATTTGAAGTTGGAAGATGGAAAACTAATAATTCAACCATTTACCGTTCTTTTTAGAATAATCTCATCTAACCGTAATCTAGAAATAATCTCACTTTTACACCACATCTTCTCTTATTGGTTTCTTACTAGTTAATGACATATTATTCCAAGTTATTTATTTTTTTTGCAAAACATTAAACCATAAATCTCACATTTCGCAAAACTTCTCAAAATGGTCACATTTCTCTCTTTATTTTTATCCTCTTTAGTCTTGACTCATATTCCCTTCTTTAGTCTTCTTCTTATCTTTATTGTTTTTTCATGTTTATGTATTCCATTTTTCATTCATTCTCTTCTTCATGTTTATTATTTCAATTCCTTTTTTATGTATTTTTTCGAATTAGTTCCCTTCTTATAAAAGATTTTTTTCTCATCATACTAATTTTTTTAATTTACATTCTTTTTTTACTTCCACTTACATTTTTTTTCCTTAGCTTAATTCTACACTATTTTCCATCATTTGCAATGGAGCTAATGATTCTATTTTTTGGTTTGAGAATATAATGGAACAAAACAAAATGGCTTAATAAACTGTCTGCGCTTCTTTGTTATGAAGCGGCAGTCAGTCCATGCAATTTTGGACGCGTTTTTCACTTGGGTCATCTGGAAACAGTCTCTCTGTGCTTTAGTACAGGGGTAAGACTGCGTACATCTGATCCCCCTTACCCTACCGTAGGTGGGAGCCTTTGCGGCACTGGGGTAATGATAATGATGATGAGCTTAATTTCACACTAATCGTTTGCCGGAAAATATACGCAACGCAAAACATTCTCCAAAAAGTATATAAAACATTGACCGGAAAATGCACAAAATGTATAATGTTTGTGGAAAAATAAACAAAACCTTCACCCAAAAACACACCAAACGTTTACAAGAAAAATCCACGACTCTCAAAACTACGGAAGTAAGAAGTATATTATACTTCAAAAATGATGTTTGTACACACCCGTATACCAACTTTTAGAGTTGTGCTTAGTGTAACTCAAAATGGTGTGGGGTACCCCATTTTTACCTCACTTATTGTGTTGTTCAAATGAGACCCCATTTAAATGAGTTGTCTCACTTAAATGAATTGTCTCATTTGAACCACACAATATGAGCGGTAAAAATGGGTAACTCATTTTGGGATACCTACAAAATATTTGCAACTTTTATACTGGTTCATGTTTGTGAGGGGACAAAATAAGAGCGGTATAACAAGCATCCCTGATTATACTTTACCGACGAAAACTTCTATTTGTATACCACTGTTTTATGTTGGAAATTTCCGCCACGCATTTCCAATGAAATTTATCATCAAAAATTCGTTGCTAATGCTAAAATCAGATAGACAAATGTAGTCGGAAAAAATTATGACCAACCTATAAACACTTTCTGTTGCAAATCCGGCTGTCGGAAATTTGGTGGGTGTTGTATGATTTGGTGTAGTGCAATTAAAACCGATTTTTTCTTCTTTTTCTATGAACCATTATTGATGAGCTAGAAATAATACATCCAAATTAAAACTGAAGTGGATAAAAAATTTGTGCAAGGCATAGCAGCATTGATACGGACATACCTTTTCCAGTGGATCAAATCGTGATGGGAATGATTAGGGGGAATATGATGGGAGAAGCATTTCATCATTTTCTCTTTGACAAAGAAAGTGTGTTGATCGAAGAACATGTGAGAGAAGACCGGAGAAAAAACCGTTGAACCAATCACACCCGCAAACTTCGATTCACACCATCTTATGTATGTAGTCTTCATGGGATATGATGATGATGATGTTTTTTAATTATTTTCTTTCATTAGTTTGGAGGTTTTTAATTGGATTGAAATTTTATAATCTACTGAGTATTCTAGTTTGATCTGGTACAAACTGGGAGTGCCGGTCATGTCGAGTTTTGGGCCTATGGGCGATATACTATTTTGGCCTATTTCCAAGATAAATTGTAAATTATACTTAAAGTAAAAATTACAGAGTATAATAAAACTATGAGAAATTACTCTAAATACGACTTAAAAAGTTTGTATATTCCAAACAAAGATTATCATGTTTTTATTCTCTAAATAGAAGTAATTATTTTCATATTTTGATAGTATCATATTTTACACATGATTGTATTTTCCGAACATGACAATAATTACTCCTATTCAGAAAATAAACACATGAGAGTCCTATTTTGATATTATAAAAAAATTACTTATATTTCAGGAATTCTTCCTACAACTATCTAATAAAGGTTATAAAACAAAGATAAAATTCATCTTCAAATTATTTGAATTGCATATTTGGACAAATGTAACAACACAAGTATCACAAAATAACATTGTGAAGTAAAATCATCAATAATTGCTTTATAATCAATATTTTCCAAGATCATGTGTACAATGTTTAAAATTGATAATCCATTAAGTTTTTTTTGGGGCATAATATAGATAATTGGGATAATGTTTGAGAATTGGGAGGCACCGGCAGCTCAAAGACAATAACATAAATTGGTAATTTTGTAATTAAAAGAATAAAAAATCTTAAAGGCTAAAAAAATGTGAAGAGACGTGCTTTTATTGATTCAACAACAAATGTGTTGACTTACAACCAACTCTATTTAAAAATCAAAACTAAATTTATATTCTTTTTAAAACTTGTCTAGCTCCGTAACCTCCGTTCAAGACTTTTTAGTTATGTTTTAAAATTCTCAAATTGTCAACAAAAATTACGCATTATGCCTGATTAATTAATTGAAGTTATAAATAAAAAAGAAGCCTACTCAAATTACATATAAAGAAAAAAATTGGGCCTAATTTTCTTTCTACTTTTTTTCGGGCCTAGGGCGGTCGCCCTTGCTGCCCTCCCCTAGGACCGGCCTTGT